TTATTTTCATAACTTAATTTCAACAATGCTTTCTACACAATTTATGGCTGTTTTTTAAATTATATACACTCTTGGGAATTACGACCAGATGTAACAAAAAAATATCGCAGGTCACTCCTCCTCACATACTTTTGGGTGATGAGTTAGTAAAACAAAGTAGAACTTCTAATCCGACTTCTAATCTATATGCATTTATGAGTATGCTTATATGCTTATTACTCGTCAATAACGTGAGTAAAACGAACAATTGTGGAAATACTAAAAAAGACTTTAGTTAAAGACAAGTAGATCTGGACGTTCATAATCACTAATTGTGATACAATTAAATGCATTAAGATTCTGACGATCGTGTGCTGCCCATAAATCTTCCTTATTTCCCAACGAAATCCAATTTTACAGACTCTCCACTTCAAGGAGTACGTTTACTAGCATCACATCTTGTCGGCAATCAAGACTTGGACAGTTTTTGTCGAGAAGTGGGACATAAGCGGAAGAATATGCCAGTCTTGAAGCATATTTAAAAATAAATAAAAATGAGTAAACGAAGAGAAGAACATTTTTTAATTGCTTAAAATGCTATTTTCGTTGAAAATTACTAGCTAAGCAGGAGCATCGTAGGGCTGTCATATTTTAACAATTATAAAAGAAAACAAATTCCAAATTTGATAGTTTTGAATTTGTTGCATCATAAATCTTTTTGGAATTTAGGTTTCTGGGACAGGGTAGAGTAAAAAGTTGCCCAGGGATTTCCATGTTTTATTATGTTAGGAAAGTTTATGTCGTACCCATAAATCAAGCTTTAAAAGTCAAAATAAACTTGTTTGAAAGTAAGCAATACAGAAACACTAGCTAAATTTTGAATCTTGATTGGTCATATCTACCTTCATTTACTCAATTTTTGATAGTACATGCGATACAATCGAAAACATTATTGTAAAGTCATTGCATAATTACACTAATGCTTATCACTAAGACAGTTAAGGATTTAGATGTGTTCACAAGAATCCCCTACGAAGACCATGCTTAAGTAAAATTATGATTGGAGAGACTGAAGAATAGGCATTGACATGCACAGAAGGTAGCTTATGGATATGTGGGCCATGTAGACCTTTTGGTTGAGCCAGAGGCTTTATCAAGTGTGGCTCCATCCCAACCAGCCAGGCTCTTCATCATGCGTATTCATGCGTAAGACCTGTCCCGTTTTTTGGCACACTGGAATTTCAAGGGGCCAAAAAAATCGGAAGCGACCATCCGGCGAGGCGTAAGATTCGCCAAGGGACCAACCACTGGCTTTCAGACAATGCATCGGGGGCTTTCACCGTTCTTAAATTGTCTCCAATATCACTAAAATTATGGAGTTACGGATGCTTTGTGAAAGATACACCAAATAAAAAGACGTAATCCATTTAAACGTGCTTAAAGTAGCGAGTCCAAATCCTCTTCACAAGAAAATGTTCCACTTCAAAAAACATTTAAAATACACGCCTTCCTCCGCGAGTATGTTTCATGTGTTTTTCTATTTTGTCGGTTTAGTGTAAGTAAATCTAATTTTCATTAGCACCTCACATCATGGCCACAAACCTTCCCGTTTCGCATTAGAAGATTGTGCTTCATATAAATTTAATCCTGTGAGTAGCCTGTGAGTACATGACTGTAAGTATGGAGAAAATTTAAGTCAGGCTTAGCTTTGAAGTAAAGCTAGGTCTTAAAGACTGTTTTCATAGTTTCACATCATCAACCTTTTCATTTAATGCGATAAGTTGGTTGGAAGCGATCCGGAAGTGGGTCTTACAAGAATCAGATGGATGGTTGATAGTCGGTTTTGGCAAAGCAACCGACAGATCCGAATGAATCCATACAGAGCAGCTGTTTGTCCTGACATGGCATACACATTCAAGGCGAGGCATCACCAAAATCTCGAAACCAAAAATAGTGACTGACCCACGAGTTCTTTGCACCCAGCTTTTCATAGATAATGAAGGCTTAAACGAAATGAAAGTGAGACTTCCTTAGTCCAAACCGTAATAAAAGTAGTCGAATTTTTACTATATAAAGCACGATATTTCTTTATTTATGTCTGGAAAGACAAATAGAAAGCACCCCCACCCTAAAGATATAATTCATAGAGTTACGCTACAAAGCCTAGAAGGCAAGCAAAACGTTCTGATATGTATTAGAAAATGCTACCGCATTTCCAAACTTAGATACACAAAAAATGCAGCGGTACAAGACCCCTAACACAATATGAGTAGTGCGTATCATTTAGTTGGTTAAGTCTTGTCTTATTTTGGAATATTATATTAGTAATAATAGTAATGATAATAAATGAAAAAAATTCAACTATCTCTAATAAACGATTTAATTCTTTTCTAGAAAATATCCAAGATACGTAAAGAAAGTGTCTTCGAGATTATCCGTGAGTCCGAAATCCGGACATTAGTCAACCCAGGTCACCTGATGCGACCAAGGATGGCTATGGTTCTGATTCAAGACCTACAAGTAATGCTATCGACTGTAATGGTTTGAACAACAATCCAACGAGAAAAGTATGATATTGTAGAGGCCTGGCTTGCCTTCAAAGCCATGTCTGTCTTGTGAACCACGTGGCACATGAACGCGTGGCACACGTGGCAATAAGGACAGTCTCAGCAACATGTCCAAAACAAACGCTAATGGTAATGAGACCCAGGCGAGGTAGAAACAACAGTCTATACTGTTTAAGCACACCTTATGGAAGACAAGGCTAAGTGAAATTAAATGGCATCGTGGGGACTACTCATGTCGTTGTGAGAGAAAGCACTATCGGTCTTTTATCAGCTTACACAGGCTATTGTGACTAAAGATCTTGATCTTCCTCGAAGAATTCTAGAATGCACCATTAAACAAATAATATTCCCCAGAAAAATAGCCGAATATTCGGACAACTTATTATTAAGCAATGTGTCTACGTTGTGAACTGAAAAAGCCTTCTTCTGTCCACAGGTTTCCTTGATTATTTCTTTAATCCATACTAACATTTCTTTTGTAATCTATCGAGGCAGAACCAAAAGCATTGTTTTGCCAAGCAAATTCGCCTGTACATACCATTTTGGAGCCTCACTTAGAGCTTCACAAAATGTGGACATCAAAGAGTCTTAATGAAAGTTAGATCAACCTAAAAAGGGAAGATGTTCAAATTGGGCCAGAATTCCTGCTTAGGCAAGGTATGTAAACAAGATGAAGACTTTGCAAGGACTATAGGACTAGATTCAGGACGTGAATGGAATCCAACAAATTCCAATAAAAAAAAGTGAAAATAGAGATATTCGAAAGTAGACACATAATAAGCGGCTCTCACTTGGCACACTAAGATTGGGCATTTGTTGCATGCCGATTCCAGCAGAAAAGGCCGGTTTCAAGGTGAAGTCGGACTTCAAAGGCCCGTCACCATCTGATGGGCCTCGTGTCTGTGATATCTTTCCCGGAAGACAGGCCACCTGGGCTTCGTGACTCGTTAACCGATCGGGCTGCCCAAAACTGCCCGGATCTATAGGAGGCCGGGCCGGGGAAGTAGAGCCAGTCAGCCGGGCTGAGATGACGGGACCAAGTTGCTCAAGCTGGATGGTTTGTGGAGGAATAGACAGGAGTTTAGCGGTTGTCAGAATGCCCAATTGTTCGTTTAAGCTAGCTTGTTTTATTTGCTTGTGTATTTATGAGTGTGTTTGAGTTTGCAAGTTGGAAAATTGATGCCAATTATGCTTGTGTGTATTTCATATGCACAATTGTTGGTGTGTGTGTGTGTGTGTGTGTGCATAATTGCATGAGAAATAGGAATCCGGATGGAAGAGATCAGTTGAAGAGAAACAAAGAAATAAGACAGATAGAATGGCAGTTCATCTGCAACTTTGTACTGTTTTTAAGGTCAGACTTGATTACCATCACCATCACCTCCACCAATAGAACGACTACTTTGGTAGTCTTTGTATCTTCTGCTTGGATGAACTGGGAAGGCAGCAGAAGAATTGCTAAGCGGTCCAGCTTGCCAAATAAATTCATGGATGTTGCTGGGTTGCCTGAAATTTGCCTCATCAGAATTATGGGGATTTCGGGCTTCGGCCCAATTGAGAATTCCATTTGCTTACCTGGAATCTAAAGAACTACAGAAGGCCGTCTCCAAGAGAACTCTCCTGCTCTGAATGAGGCTGATCAAGGACAAACTAGCCTCCTCGGGTGGCCATGCTTCAACAACTTGATCCGACTTTAGAGATATCCCCACAAATCAAAAAGGGCGAACATTCGCCCAGACACGAACATGTATTTGGCGGAACAGTCACTATCTGTTCCCCGTAGATGCTTAAAGCTATGCCAAAGTGATAGTGAAAAAGCGATGCTCCAGTACGAATAAATACAAGGACTTTTCAAATAAGCAAGTTTGCATGGAATAAGCATCTTGAGAATAAATCTTGAGCTTACATTGCTGCATGTAGACGATATGAGGAGTAAGATGCTGTATACAGTTAGATTGACCTTGTTTTTGCTACCTAATCGTATAATCAGACTTTGAAGATAGTATCCCACTTTGGTATTGTTGCCATATCTTATTCCGAGATAGGACTGATGACCAGGGACACTACCAGACGTCGGAACTACAAATTATATTGAAGGTATAAAGACCAAGATGGTGGCTCTAAGAGTGTTTGCGGTCACTTTCTTTGTATAGAAATTGTTTCGCAACTTTGTCATAATGGCAGGAATACCAAGAAAAACGCATTTTGTCTGGAGTCAATAGTATGTATTATCATTTCCAGTGTCGGACCATGAACTCAGTAGATTCCCAGACGTTTCGCCTGCAACCTAGCCGATATCGTCAATGAGCCTTGTCATTGTTAGCATCACACTATCACCAGAGCAGGAGAGATACCACAACTGTTTTGCAGACAATTGTTCAACTGATCGACTTCACTTGCCTCTCTGGCGAGTTGTAGTCTGGGGTCAAGATACTGCTAATACCGATGAAATGTCTAGCAATCTACCAAGTCCGTGGTTTGACTCTGGAAATTATCATGCATACTATGAACTCTGGACAAGGTGCATTCCTCTAGGTCATCCTGCCAATATGGCCAAGTTGTGAAAACAAGGTCAAATAACTTCTGTACAAATATGGGCGAGCATATCTAAAAGACTTGGAATTAAAACTGCAAAATTATCATTCAAGACAATAAACTGAGTTAGGATAAACACAGCTATTTCCCAGGCTATTAGGTTACGATTCAACAAGAGCTAAGTCACCCAAATAGCCTCCAGCCTGAGGCTTCCATTAAATTTTAATTAGCCTTGATTCCTAAATGGTATTCCTATCCAGGATGGACTGCAATTTCCTCCCCGCCTAGGTCTCATCAGCATCGACAGCGGGATCAAATACCTAGTCATAAATAGTGGGACGGTGACGTCGCCAAGATACTCATGACCCCGTATCAAGTCTCGCAGTCTAACCAGGATAGGAGTACCTTTTGGGAATCAAGTCTAAGTAAAATTTTTCGTATATAAGTAGACTTTCAATACTACCAGTAAATCAGTCATATGAGATGTATTCACCCTATTTCGTTTAAGATGACAAAGAACTGGTAGTAGAATTTTACGACAATGATATGAGTAGAGCTGACGTTTCCATTGAATTCCATATTGCCTTGCTTTCTCCAAAGTTGCTCTGATCCAGGGTGGACCACAGTTTCGAACTCGCATAGATATATGTGAAATTCAATGGAAACGTCAGCTCTACTAATATCATTGTGGGAAAATGCTGCCATCAGTCTTTCATTACCCTAAACGAAATAGGGTGAATACATCTCAACTAAGTAAAATTTAATGGAAGCGAATGGTATACCAATATCATTTTAGGAAAACTTTCATGATCAGCCATTAGATGGCACTAAACGACATAGGGTGATTCTGTCTTATTTAAGAATTACTGATAACATCGAAACCCACTTATATAAAAAATATGACTCTCGTTGATCCGCTTAATTTTTTCGCACGCTACCTTTGTTTAATAGCAAACATGAGGGGAGATGCAGTGTAAGTTTGTACATTTTCGCCGGAGAAAGTGATCCACAACAAAGCTTTTGATAGACATCCGAAATTCCGGGAATCGAAATCTGATCTTGTGCCATCACTTTAAAAAAACCTATCTAGGCCTCCTTCGTAATTGTGCAGACAGATTGCCGTGGTCGCATGAACAGAAACTGTCCAACAGACCTTAAACTAATATCCTTCAGCTTTTGGGGACGTTGATAAAAATTCGTCGGCTTTGCACACTTTAAAATGCAGTGAGCTGATGCAGAGTCTGATCTGGATCAGGTGTGGTCGCCACCTGCGAATACGTGGAGGCTGTAGGCAACCGTAAGCCGCAAGTCAAACACTAGACTCAGTTGTGAACAAAATGGTAGCAGAAGAATTTACAAAAGATACGAAGGTAAAAATTCTGTTTGAACTAAAAAAAGGATTGAAAGCATTCTTGAAGTGACTGTTAAGCATCGACACACTCACCTCGGGCAGTCTATCGTCTTGAGCCTGTTTTCGAGTCTCGGTGAGGGGCTCCAGGAGGCAAGAGCTGTTCTGCTCTTCAGACAATCCATCATTCTTAATCGTCGAACCCTTATGGGGCTTAAAATTGTCCACTTCAGTATCTTTCCTTTCACTCCTCTCGCCCTCATTCTTCGATTCCCCCAGCCTAGACGTCCCGTCATTTGTAGGAGTTGCGAGCTCATTCGGAGGCAAATCGCATTTGACGTGGACACCTTGTGGCTGGCAGCTCGGACGATAAGTGACACGGGCATTCACGTCTGTCGGCGATGAGGTGCTAAATCCAGAACTATCGGATTTGCAGACCGTCAACACAGAGACGCAAACTATAGGCCGATTATCTGATGTTGCCTGTAGGGGGAAGCAAAATAAGTAAGTGAAATCGATGAGGCTAAAAGTCTGGTAAAAATGTTAGAAGAGTGTGGATTAAAATAAAAACAGGGAAATAGAGTAGAAGAGTCAAGAGGCTAAGCGGATAGATAATTTAAAGGTCAATTAAATATTTAACATTCCAGCAATATATAGTATATGCTTCTGAATTGCAAAAAAGGAACGAAGGAGAAATCTGAATAAATGAAGAGGAAAATATGCCAGAAAGGGGGAAAAGATCGGAATGTCAACGCTTCTAGCGAGAAAAATAAAAAAGAGATAAAGATATCATAGAAGTGTGAGCATCCAAAGTGATAAGAAACAGTGAAGACAATTGTGAAAAGGTTGGAAGGAGTAAGTAAACAGAGATTGAAGAGAAGATATGAGGAAAATAGAAAATACGAAGGATAAAAAAAGAGGAGCAAGAAATCAAGTGAAAACGGAGAAAGAAAAAGATGCAAAAGTACAGTGAGCCTAACAGCAATAATGAAATTTATTAGATAAAGGACTGAAATGAATCAAGCTCGTAGTAGTATAAGGCGATGCTATGAAATTAAACTAAATTTACACGATAAAAAGGCAAACATTAAGAATGAATAATGAGGAAAAAAGAGAAAATAAATGAATATACGGCCTGATTTCGCCATTTAAACGAGTTCTCACGCAGGATGGATAGAAGCTACCACCTGGCCTGGGACTCGTTAGCATCAGACGAGATTCACAATTATGGTGTGGGGTTCAGGATGGCTTCAATTGTAATTTGGCCACTAGACATATAAGACCCTCTTAACTGGACGTGCGTCTTTAACATTCCACAATTAAACGTCGTTAAGCAGACATTAGTTTCATAAAGAATCTGATCTTCGAATCACTATTGAAATAATGTAAGCATTAGAGGCGAACATATTAAAGCTTATTTTTCATTTATAAATAGGCTTTCGAGACTACCGGTATATATATAAGTACCAAATTATATATATACCTTATATAAAAGCTATATTCATCCTATTTCGTTTAAGATGATGACGGATTTATAGTTGAACTTTACCTCAATAATATGAAGACCAAGATGGTGTGGCCTTTTGTGTGGTCGCAGTCTCCTTTCGCTGTATAGAAGTTGTTTGA